CACTGCACCTCCTACCCTTGCCTAACACCACTGCACCTCCTACCCTGCTACGTGGTGAAAAATCCATGTTTATAGAAAGTTGAAAAAAGGGCAACTCACAATACTCATGTGGCAGAACAGAAGTCAATCGCATAGGCATCGGTGCCGATCTTCCAAGCACCTCCTTCCCTTCCACGTGACCAAATTGTGGAAACACTAAAAATTGAAATCACATATTCCACATGGCATATCCCTGATCTACCACCTGGGCAAACCCTGCCGGCCCTGTTGCCAGGTGGCCAGCGTTGGATGGCAAAACAGACCAATCTTAAGCCACCCTATCCACCGTGAGGATCTGGCAGTCACTATCCCACCCCTTTACTCCACCATCCCTCTTCTCTCTCTCCCCCCCACCCTAAGGCTTCCGGTTTGCCGAACAATCCATTCGACCTAACCAATCGCATTCGACCTACCCAATCGCCCTTCCCCCCAGTGAACCCCGAAAAAGCGTGAGAAGACATGCAAGAGGGGAGGGAGAAGGGGGGGGGGAAGAGGATGCCCAATCGCCCTTACCACAGCGTCAATGCTTTTGTTATTTTTGTTGTTGTTGTTGTTATTGCAACCGGCAGTCTTGTGAGTAGTCGCGTCAGCAAACCTTGTTGCCGTTCGAATGACTTTTTTTAAATCACCCCTGAGAGGGTCACAAAAGGACACACGTCTCGTTCTACCGTAGCCTCGACTAGCCGAAAACAATACCCCATTCTTTCGAGACCCTCACTCAGTGTTGGAACAGAGGGCATAGCTAAGAAGTAGGCAAAAGTTATAGATGCCGCTGCGACAAACGGTTACAGGTACTTCTTTCTCTCCATTACCTGCCGGCAAAAGTCGTGGCAAAGGTTACGGATCTGCCCAAAAAAGTAGTTGTGGAGAACAAGTTAAGAAAAGTCACAGGTTCCTTTTTCTTTAGATTACCTGCGCACTTAGAGCTAGTAGCGAACAAGTGTCAAACTGTGCCCATTCCATGATGTTGTCGCTCTCTTGGTCGGCCTCTTTCCCCCCCCCTGTTCACGAAGTGTCCCAATCAGTTGCGGGCGAGTGACGATGAAAATGGAGTCGTCCTAAATTTGTAACATCCCTCTGCGTCTCTTTCTCGCCGGCTGTCGCCGCTGTTGCCGCTATTCCCTCGCCCTTCCACTCGCCCGTACGCGCACCTTCATACACACACAAACACACCGGGACACACCCGCACCCGCACCCACACGGGCCACACCCACACCCACCCACCCATAACACACACACACACACACGCACACACACACACGCACGCGCACACACACACACGCACGCACACACACACACACACACAC